CCCCCCCCCCCCCCAGTGCCTGAGAACTATGATATGCAAAAGCCTCATATAAATCCCCTGGTTAAATTCTTTTAATCATGCAATTACTCCTCCATCTTAGGTGAGCTACAAGAACGGCAAGGTACGTTGCGGTGATTCTGACTATATGTGGTGGGTTCGTTTCTTGAATTTTGCTCGAAATGCAACGGAAACAAACGTGGAAATATATCGCGAGAATGGAGTGTTTTACTGTCAGGTTGTGAGGGATGTTGCTAAAGGACAAGAACTGTTGGTTTGGTTTGAGGAGAAACTTTGCAATGAATTGGGATTGACCAAGGAAGAGAAACCAGAAGAAGGTTAGTTTTTCAACTATTCTGTTTTTCGTTTGCTGCGAGTATGTCCTAAAACTTTTGCCTAAAACTGTCGCATGGAACCTGCTTACAACTTGAGTTGTACTGACAACGTAGGCAAGTTGTGTGCTTGATTTACACAGTACAACTCAAGTTGTAAGCAGGTTGCATGCGACAGTTTTAGGCAAAAGTTGTGTAGTGTAAATCGCCCTATGCAGAGGTAATAGGTTTTATTTAAACCATCAATATAAATTTTCTACTCCTGTGTGAATGACATCTGTGAGTCTGGCCGAATTGTTCCTTTATATAATAGCCTTGAAGTTTTGCCCGACTCCGATGCGAATGGACACGAGTTTTGAATGGACTCGACAAAACAGTCGAACCCAGTTCCTTTGAGGTGACGGGGTACATGAGCCCGTAATCCAAGTGTACCTTTTTGATAAGCTTTTTCATTTACGAATACCTAAGCTCGAATTTATACACAGTATAGAAAATTTTAATAAGAAACAATAACTAAAAATTCATGCAATGGATTCTGATCTCACAACAGGATGACCACATAGTATCTTTGTTGGGAAATGTACTCTATTAGCCAAATGCCTGAAATTAACTATGAATCTTTGATGTTTCAAAATTAGCACAATATGGAGCTAGGGGTCTATTGTATATTAACGCAGTAGCCATGCAAATAGACTCTTGGGCATGCAAAGAAATTTAGAAGATAGAAATCTAACCAACATAGACTCGTATATACTGTACGGTGTAGCTTTCCGTAGCGGGAACGCTATTTTCAGAGGAATTATTGCAACGGAGAGATGTTGTCTCGCTTCGCTTCTGAAAGTTGTACATTCCCTATTGGATATAGGTAGATTTTCGCGTCGCTACGGAAAACTATCCGCGCGGTATATATAGTGTAAATGTAGCAATAAGTAACGTATAATATAGATAATTTTCGGCTGTACTTCTTAGCTAGATATAAAGTAATTATATGTATTCTTCATTGTTTACAATTATCCGTTACTTAAAATAAACGAGTTTCGGCTTGACAAAGCAATAACAGCAGGTTCCTTTGTAACCCATTAATAAATTATTACATCTTAAGAGAGCTTTTAAACCACAATACATAAACAATATTTTTTGTGTTTTGTCAAGGAAAATAACATTTTTAGCACGAGTTTTAAGCTTGACCCTTCAACTAGGGCAGAAATTTTTGAATATTTTTTCTGAGCGGAATTTTATTCAAATTGTTGAAAAATTGAAACTTTTGAACATTGCAAGTTATGATAATTGTCTAAAGTTGGAGGTATAATTAAACTTTATAGAAAATAACTTTCAAACATGTTCATATATATAGTTCCATTGTATGCAATATCAACTATATGTGATCCATTTAGTTCTTTTAATGATTATATAGTTAGATATAGAAAGTTAAAAAATACTTTTAAAAAATATTAGCTTCATCTTGAGATATCACATTCATTTATGAATATGTTATTGAAAAAATATTTTCCTTTCTAACTTCATTTCCAAATCGTTTATCTTTTACACTAAAAAGTAAAGACTACAGAAAGTATAATAATTTATTGGAATAATATGAAAGCAGTATATGTAGAGCCCCCCCTGTTAATCAAGTATATATTATAGACATTGAATAAGCTAATTGCATGGGCTAAATAGATCGCATGTATGGAATTAAGTGCAGAACAAGAAAATTAATACAATAATAATAATAATTAAAACAATAATACGCAATCAGGTATATTTATATATATCCTCATGCACTATAGTAAATAATATATATCACGTGACTATAAATTTCATGAGTTTTATATCGTGCTGTTTCATTATAATAAATGGAGTAATAAACTATATCATTATAGATAAAATGGAGTACTAATAAACTCAACCATTATATATAGATAACCTATGTATGCCATGTATTGCAAACAGCAGTTTGGTCTACATGGAAGTTTATAGTGCATGGTAATGTTAAGCTCCAAAGACAAGAACACTGCTCATTAGAGAATGTTAAAAAGCCATATATAGCATTGTCCAAAATTATATGATTTTGCCCATATTACAAGACCTATCTGGTAATCAGTTTCCTTAGTAGGGAATATTTACGATTCTCATAAAGAGAAATAACCTGTATCTTATGGCGCCTGTGGTGTTATAGAATATATCTAAAACTCTCAGAAGCTTTTTCAAACCCTTTACCCAATAAAGTTTTCCATTAAGTTTTGAATAGGTGAAATTTCGGCAATTTTATCAAATAAATTTTGATACTATAAACTATCCTAAGAACTACACAAAATGTTCTTCGTCTCTATATATAAAGTGTTACAATAGCATACACTACAACAAATATTACACATATATTTCGTGACGAATTAATTACTTATCAATATAGTAACTATATTGGCCCTTTCCCTAAACCACAAAATAAATTCCTTTAAGCTATAAAAACCACAGTCGGTTATCTGGCTATGCGCTTGCCTTTTTTGTGGTTTACTAAATACATTTAACAATTTCTAAACAAAACGAAGTCCTATGGCAGCTGTCGACTGCTGGAATCTCGTGTGATGTTATAGCACTGAGAGCCTCGTGGCCCAAGCACGCGCTTTTGTCTTGCCTATTGTCCTCGTGTAATTGAGTACTCTTCATTAAACAATCTGATAATTTGTAAATTTGCCTTTCTGTCAAGCGAAAATCACAGCTGTTGCATAAAAATCCTTCGAACTTCTAGTATTCTAACTGTGACAAAATCCGTTCGATCGAACGATTTCATAAGT